AATTAACAGCCAAACAAGCCACCTAAGGAAGCTGGAAAAGCAAGACCACAAAAACCCTAATTTCAGTGGAAGAATCCAGATCACCAAAATAAAAACCCAAATACAGGACATAGAAGAAAAAAGACAATACAAAAAAATCAATGAAACAAAAAGCTGGTTCTTCAAAAGAATAAACAAGATCAATGGTCCCCTAGCTAGACTGACGAAGAAAAAGAGAGAAAAAGACCAAATAAACACAATCAGAAACACAAAAGATGAAGTCACATCTGATCCTGAAGAAATACAAAAGATCATTAGAGACTACTATGGACACTTGTATGGAAACAAACTTGAAAACCTTAAAGAAATGGAAGACTTTCTGACATCACACAACCTGCCTAGGCTGAAATAAGAAGAAATTGAGACCCTAAATAGATCAATAACAATCAAGGAAATTGACTACATAATAAGAAAACTATCTACAAAAAAAAGCCCTGGACCAGATGGCTTTCCAGCAGAATTCTACAAGACATTTAAGGAGGAGCTGATACCAATCCTACTGAAGGTATTCCAGGCGATTGAGGAAGATGGAACTCTCCCCAAATCATTTTACAAAGCTAACATCACATTGATACCCAAGCCAGGTAAAGATCCAACAAAGAAAGAGAACTACAGGCCAATATCTTTGATGAACATAGATGCTAAATTTCTCAACAAGATCCTAGCAAACTGGATTCAACAACATATCTCAAAAATCATCCATCATGACCAAATAGGCTTCATCCCTGGGATGCAAGGCTGGTTCAACATTCGTAAAACCATAAATGTAATTAAATACATCAACAGATGTCAAAACAAAAACCACATGATTATATCATTAGATACAGAAAAAGCTTTTGATAAAATCCAGCACTGCTTCTTGATAAAAACCCTCAAACATCTAGGCATACAGGGAACATACCTCAAAATAGTAAAAGCCATCTATGAGAAACCCATAGCCAGCATACTCCTAAATGGAAAAAAACTGGAACCATTTCCCCTGAAAACTGGAACAAGACAAGGATGCTCACTCTCACCCCTCCTGTTCAATATAGTATTGGAAGTGCTGGCTAGAGCAATCAGAGAAGAGAAGGCAATCAGGGGTATCCAAATAGGAAAAGAGGAAGTCAAGTTATCTCTGCAGATGACATGATTGTGTATCTTGAAAACCCAAGAGAATCTGTCAAAAACCTCCTTACACTGATAAAGGACTTAGGCAAAGTCTCAGGATATAAAATAAATGTGCAAAAAATAATCACATTTCTTTACACCAATAATAATCAAACAGCAATAAAAAGCACAATTCCATTCACAATAGCCACACACACACAAAAAGAAATACCTTGGCATCTTAGCATCGTCCTAACCAGAAACATGAAAGACCTTTACAATGAAAACTACAAAACACTGCTCAAAGAAATCAAAGATGACACAAACAAGTGGAAAAATATCCCA